TTCTGATCAAGTGCTTGAGAGAAAATGTAAAGCTCTTCTAGATCAGGTACTATCAGTATTCCTTTCCTAATCAAACAATCTCTTATCACAATGTGCTTCATATGAACTGTAGAGAAACCAAAAGGTCATATTGCTTTCTACCTAAATTGAAGGTAGTCTGTTTAAATTTGCATTGAATTGCAGCACATAATAAACCCAATTCATAATCAGGATTCCTTGATGAACTAAAAGACTAGCTGCATGCCAGAACAAAGGCCCAGGTGCAAACATTGTCAATGAAAGACAAGACTGATTACCATAGACACAATGGAAACCCCACCTGTGTAGAAATGGACCACAAACAGTGTGATATATTGTTTTTCACTTTATAGTGTGTTAATATTTACTAGCTGCACTGTAAACATAATAATCAAATATTGTACAGTTTAATTACTCAAACTCATTTAAAAAAGGGAAGCTGTGGTAGCCAAAAATGTACCCCCAAAATACAGTTTGAATGTTTAGGCATAACTGTAGGCATTTTACAGCTAAATATTTGACGGGAAATTTACATATATTTTTTTTAATTTTAAATAGGTAAATTTAACCAAGTAACAGGTGTTTACATAGCCATGGGAACATATTTTATCTGGGGGGTGCTGGGGGCGGGGCTTGATGTTGCCAAGGTGGGGGATTTTTGACAAAATCCTAATAATAATCAGCCCAAACGCAAAACAAAAATTAACATACAAATGAAGACAAGAGTTATATGCGAACCAATATATATTTGTGCTTTTGTGATTTTAGTTCACCATTTCTATTATTGAAGGGGATTTTACTAAATATCATCAACGCTGATAAGCAAAAGTTTTGTTCAGTGCACTTTGGCGAATTCTCTCAAAAACAACAAAGTGCAGATGTAGGCTACATGCGATCTAAATATAAGAGACTAATTAATAATACACTGCAGACAACATCACTGATTATAACGTACAGCTTTTTCTAGAGTGCTTACACTCACGCTAGACTGAATTCAGTGATATTCTTTGATAATGTAAATGTTCTTTGCTCACTGTATAATTTGTTCGTTGTTTGAATAATCGAGGACATGCGGCATTATAATTAAACTTAAAATGTCTTTTTATTAAACGTAATCAGGTTAAATACAAATTCAGTCTTATTGAAATATTTTGTTCATAATATCCCTTACGAAAAAGAAGTTTATTCAAGTGTGCTATTAGTATACATCTTTTAAACTAAAAATAGGAAAGTATACTTTCAGTCTAATTTGATGTACTTCTCAGAAATGGGCTTTATGTACTTCTCAGAAATATACTTAAAATGACATTTAAGTATACTTGACTTATGCTTAGGAAAAAGTCTAAATATATTTGAGCTATACTTGTGCTTGTATGCACAGAATGTTGTCATTGTTATACGGTAGGGGACGCTAGTACACATCTTCTGTACAGAATTTCCAAAACACAAGAGAAGAAACCGAAACAACAGATGCTTCCACATGTATTCTAACACGATCATCAGACATAAAACAGCATCAAAACTGTGCAACGTTAAGGAATAAAATGTCGACCCCTGAAGAGGTAATAATGACTTTCAAGCTTTGAGGTGTTGATCGACTCCATCTACGTTTTGATTAGCATTCTAAATCCAATTAATAGTCTTTTTTCAGCTTTTTGTTCAAAATCTTGTTCATTTCTTTATTTTTTTATTTATAAAACTTACCCACATTCAAGTGTTTAAGAAAAGAATGCATGAAGCTAGAATAAAAATATTTCTGTTTACAAGCAGATACCCTGTTCTTTTGATGTTTTGTATGTTCAGATATTCATATAACAAAATATATACAAATTAATACCTAAATAGGGTCGCAGTAGTATACTTAAAATACGATGTAAAGTTCACTTAAAGAAAACTTACGAGTGTACTTGCAGTATAAAACTACTAAACTAGTAGTTTACTAAGACTATACTTCAAAGTGTACTAAAAATGCTACTACAAGTATTTAATTAGTAAACTATCAGTATGCCTATAAGTTCACTTTTAGTATAGTTGCAGTACAAACTAATAACATAGATGTAAACTAGTAGTGTACTCAAAGTTTACTACTGTTATACTAAAAGTATACTTTCATATACTAGAAAGTGGGCCAATTTAGTCCGAAGGAGTATTGAAATAGTACACTTACAAGTACAGTATACTACTAGTACACTGATATTTGTATACTTACTACATAAAGTATACTTAAAATATACTTGAACTTTACTTAAGTATACTTAATAAAATAAACTTGAAGTATTCTTCTTTTTGGTAAGGCATGGTATACTTGCCTAAAACGTTATGATGTGCGCAGTTAATAGATTACATTAGGCTACAGTGGTTTGAGCGCGTTTGACCAGAGACTAGAGCACAATCAAAGAGTGATTGTCTTGAGAAGCGAGAAAATGGCTCATAAAAAGGACGAGGACTTTAATGTCAAATTAAGGTAATATCGCGTGAACATTTCACGTGAAATACTGCAAGTGTGAGGTGGAGAAGTAGACTAGTAGAATAGAATAGTAGAGTATTATAGAATAGTAAAGTATATTCATAGAATAGTAAAATAGCTGCAGCACCCCCTAGTTCCCACTAGTTGGTAAGGTGTTTCCCTTACCAAAAAGTAGTATACTTCAAGTTTATTTTATTAAGTATACTTAATTAAATTCAAGTATATTTTTAAGTATACTTTATGTAGTAAGTATACAAACATCAGTGTACTAGTAGTATACTTGTAAGTGTACTATTTCAATACTCATTCGTACTAAATTGGCCCACTTTCTACACGGCAAAATCACTGGTGTAGAATTTTCAGGGACGGTGTAAAATTAACAGTGTTGACATTGTTTTAACACTACATGGTGATAAAATAACACTGCTGTTGTTATTTGTAAGACAGTGTCAGTGTGAAATTAAAGTGTATTTTCAAATTTCACCCAAAGTGGCGTAAAAAAAGCCACGCCTCCAATTAACGCTAGGCCACCAGCCTGTGTCCGCCATTTTCTTTTACTAGAAGCCGAAGAAAAAGCAGGTAAATCAGATTCTCACACGATATAGCTAAATTAAATTGTTATTTTTATATCTATGGAGCCCTGCATATGAGTAGATGTCGTGGACACATTTCTCAATTCGTTCCCTTGTTAAGTTAAATCGGGGCCACGTTGTACTAATTTGATACCTCGGTAATTCAGGTCATGGACGCGATTTAAACTAACGTTATGGCACTAATTACATGTCCGTGATTTACCTAAAATTAAGGAGCGTATTAACAAATCGTGAATTCATATAACACATTCCTAAATCATGGCCGTGACATTTAGGTTTCCCCCTCTACATTGCGCCTTTTACACGTTTAAACCAAACAGTTGGTCATGAGCAAAACACGCAGGTTAGTATTGTAACTGTAAAAACGCTGAATTGCATATAAAGATAAAATATCAAGGACAGGAGGATAATTTACTGGGGATAAAAACTGTTGAAAGAGTTTAATCATCTATGAGCGAAACTTGCTTGGTTGGTTTAAAAAGTTCATTTTACGAGTTAGATGCAGTGGTGTATGTTTTTTTTACATTGGCTTCATCTAGATGACTATTTGACATACTATGACATACACTTGGCAAAACACCTAATATATGTTCTAGCTTGGTTAAAAGACTGTCTGTGATTGTCCTAATAGTGAGAGTTTCATTCTGAAGAAATGCTGGTTCAAGTGGAGTGTAAAGGGAACCCGAAATGGATCCGAATACCAGTGAAAAATGACACTTTTGACTTCTGTGAATTCATTAAAGAAGATACGTTTTACACATTTATTGTAATTTTAAGTTCATTATGACATTCTAGTGTTACTCACTTTGAAATCAATGATTCTTATTATATTAAAAAGTATCAGTCATAATATATATTAAAAAATTGCATTAGACATTCAGTGTATTATAAAAAGTGTTGGGCAGTAACTAATAACTTGGTTACTGTAATATTACCTTTTTCAGTAACTAGTAGTGTAACTAATTGCTAATAAGATTGTGGTAATAATATTACAGTTGCCATCCATAAAACAGCTTAGTTACTTTTGATGCCTCAACCCCGCTGATTTGAAATCCAACAATCAAATAATTCCTAGATTTATTTTCATAATTTTCACAACTCACACATGCATGTGATGTCCCCAGTGCAGCAGGCAAGCTTGGAATATGGAAAAGCTTACATTCAGCAGATAGAAATATTGCATTATATTGATTTTGTCAGGAAAAAAGATGATCTGAGCACTGTTGTGTAAGTTGTGGCTTTACTTTACTCTGGCATTACATCCCACCCACACCCCTCTGATCAGCATGTGGTACATTATATTACTATAATTAAAAATATTTTTGGAAAATTAAAGTTTCTTACAAACTTGTGATTTGATCAAATACATAATGAAATATAATCGTGTATGGGTAACAGAGAAATTACAATTAGCTTCAAGCTACACATGACAATTAATGAGATTAATACAACACTTCTTCTTGAATGTACTATCAATCACTAGAATTTTGTGGAAGATACACAGTTACAACTTCTGTTTGGCGTGAAGAAAAAATAATGTAACTAGTAGTGTAACTAATTACTGCCAGAAAGTAATGAGTAAAACATTTTCTTTTGAAATTCGTAACTAGTAATGAGTAATATATTACATTCTTTGAATAACTAGCCCAACACTGATTATAAATGGACTTAATCCCAAATAATATTCTGATCACACTAAAGTGGTTTTATTAAATTTTTTAGTATGTAGTAATGTTAATAAATCTTTGTGTCTTTCAATACATCTGACTTTAATTCTATCCTACTGATATGAATAGTTATTTATTTTATTAGATGTTTTTTTTTTTTTTTATGTATTACTTGCATTTGAAAATAATACCAAGCGATTAAAATGTCATTTCAGTATGTTTGAACATGAAATCGAATTTTTTTTGTTTCTACCTCTGAGCTTCAGCAAAGTTCAACTTGCCGCATGGAGCCAATGTGGTTCTTAAAGACTCTGCAGGAGTTGATGTTGATGCTGATATTTTTGATGAGCTTGTGAGAACATCTAAGGTGTCCTTCAAAATTTTGGATGGTGATAAATCAGGTAAGAAACTCATGACCTGCTGCCATGTTCAAAAATGTATAATCTAGTTTGTATTCTCATGCTATCATCATGTATTGTGAAGAAAAATGTTTCTGTCTTTTTAATGTTCATATTGTCTTGATTCTTGTGTGCTGTATGTGATTCTAAGATACTGTTCCCGCAAGCTGAGACCGATTTCTCCGAGCCCTCATGCCCTGAGTTGTCATTTTCATCAGTGGAATCAGAAAGTTCAGATTCCACAGTGATTCCACAATCTTCAAAGGCATGCAAAAAGCGATTCTTAGAAGAACCTTCTGACTGCAATGTGTCAAAAGATGTGAGTTATTTTTCCTCTCTTAAGTTTTTTTTTTCCTTGAATGATATATTTTTTGATACCGTATCAATAATCTTACCAACATTAGTATATCAAAGACTGGTTTATTTGCAATAATCTTTTTTTCTTCTTTCTCTAAAGCTAGTTCATGCAGCACTACACTCAAAACCAGGAGGCTCTGATATATTGAAGGAGTACAAACAAACGAAGAGCCTGTCTGACAAGACACGAAGGATGCTGGTAAACATTAGTATATCAAAGACTGGTTTATTTGCATCATCCATTTTTTTTCTACAGCTAGTTCATGCAGTGCTGCACTCAAAACCAGGAGGTTCTGATATATTGAAGGAGTACGAACAAACTAAGAGCCTGTCTGACAAGACTCGAAGGAAGCTGGTAAACATCCTTGTGGCTGATATGGTAGAGAAGTATGGGTAAGTCACCAATAAAATAGTCATTAGTCTAGTTTATATATTGCACTGGTATTTGATCAGTTACATTTTATATGAAATGTTAATTTTTATATATATTTTTTTTAATGCTGTGGTGTAGGAGAGTTCCACCAGTCAGTGTCCGTGTAAGCTATGCTCTTGGAATCATTACTCTATTCCCCAATTTAAAGGATAAGTGCTCACCGACTGGTTATGTAAGTATACAGTACATTGAGATTGTACACTCTCTCTTTTTTGCAGCACATATCAAATGCACGAGTCAATCAAATTATTATACTGCGATGACTTCTCAGATGGAATCTGACTTTTTTGGCATTGTCTGCACATTTTCTTCTAGAAAAATCTCTGGAAGGAATGTAAACCTTGTCAAATGTGCAAAGCTTAGAGTACTGTTTTTGGTAGCTGTAAGTATTATAAAAAGTATAAATATTTTATAGTTTGGGTAGTGCATTGTGTGTAGTGGGTCATGCATAGAACTTCTGTGAACAATATATTCTTCTGCAAAATTGTGTGCATGTGATATTGCCTGGGCCTGATACATTGATGCTGACTTATTGATGCTAAATCTTTGTTTGACAGGAACAGTACTACGATCCACGCAGTGGCCAGGGTTACATTGCCTACAGATTGAAAACTGTTCAGCACAACTCTGTAAATAACTTGAAGGGGGCATCAAAGGTGGTTTACCAAGATGGTCCTAAGACTTTGCGTGAGACATCTTCAACAACTGAGCAACTGTCAGGTGACGAATGCACAGAAGCTATATCCATGATGAAGCATTCAGCGGACGCACCAATTATTAAGGATAAAATGAAGACAACATTCAAGTACAGGCAGAATTTGCTACATGATCCAGACAAATCTTCACTCATCCTTGATTACTTTCCCCGATTTTTGGATACACCAGGCTTGGTAAGACATTACAATTTTGATGTTAATTGTATATCTATATGTAATTGTAATGTTTGTTATTGACATGATTTCTCTGTGATAGATTGACCAAGACTTTACTATGCTTTTTGGAGATGACATCTCAAGCAAGTTTATTGCAAAATGGCCAACATTCTACAAGCCAAGAATAATTGCTGACTGCAAAAACCTGCACCCTGGTGCACATGTGGATGACCTTCTGTCTGCTCTGGAGGAGACTGATTATGGTAAGTATAAATGTTTCTTGTTTTGTTTTTTAAACTGGTTTAACTGTATACTCTATTCTGCTAGGATGGGACAGTGATGTGGCAGCTATTCTCTTGCTCGTTCATCTCTTGCCTCCAACTGTGAAAGGAAGGAAAACTGGGAAAATCAGTGCAACTGAAGCAGCTGGTCATGTTGTACAGTTCATAAAGATAAAATACATTTGTTAGATTTACTCATTTAGTCTTGTCGGCAGTTGGTGTAATCTGTAGGTGTATCTGTGTAGTCATCGTATACAGGTTCAAAAATATAGGACTGGGCAGAAAACTTCATCTCTTCACATCTCACATTAAAATCTTCTTGCATCTTTTTCTACAATTCAAGGGTGAAACAAAGCTTTCATTAATGCATTACAATAAGATTTAATTTGTTACTGATGTAATGTAAATACACTAAACAATACTTGCACTACATTTGTTAATTTTGGTTAATGTAGATCTCGACAATACATTTAGAAGTTTTACATCATCCTGGACCAGAAGGCCATTCCCTGCATGACGCAGACAGCTGTTGCAGCCTTTGATTAACTCTTTAAGGCGCACTTTGTCTTTGCTGTGTCGTATGATGAGGCCTTATGCAACTTCTACACGTTCATTCAAACAACGGTGTATGGCATTGATGTGGGCACTGCCAAGGAAAGTCCAAGGGTCAAGGAAATCCGAGTGAGAATTCAGAACACTGAGGTTTGACTCCCCCTCCCCCCAGCATCTTGCTCAAATGTTCTCATGCTTCCTTTGCAAGGTACACCACAGAAGTTGTTCAAGTTTGTTTCAGCATCTGAAGTTTCATCATGGTTTGTACCCAGGGCGTTCATTACGGTTGAAATGTGGCGAACCTGGATGTTCATCTGTGTTTTATACATATTATGGGTTCAAGAAACACATTTTGGGAGTGCACAGAGACTGTGTAGCCTCAGGTACTGCTGAGAATGTTGGCAGTAGTATCGATGTTTCTGTTTCTGATACCCTAAGTGAGGATCCTCCAGTCACCTTTCAGACTCCTGTTGAAAATCAGCAACTAACGGATATGTGTAGTGCTATTGTTGCTCAAGTACAAGCCGCTGGAGTCTCTGAAAATACTGTTCAATGTTTAGTTGGTTCAATGGAAGAACTTGTAAGTGATGTTCATGCTCAGGCAAGAGACACTGTTCTAAAATGTCTTTCATCAGAGGTACCTGGGCAAAACCTAGACAGAGTTAAAGACTGTTTTGACCAGCTAGAAAATCCTTTCTCTTGCCTTAATACTGAAACAAAGAGGCAGAGACACTTTGAGGAAAAAATGGAAAATTGTTGAACCAGTGGAATATGTTCTTGGTGTGCGCTATGATGTGCGTAAAGATAAAACTACAGGATCATACAGTCAAGTTCCTGTCAATGACAAATTTATCTATGTGCCCATTTTAGGAACTCTCGAGTCTGTTTACAAATTCTGAACTTTGCCACTTTTTCCAGCAGGTAAAAAGTCATCAAGATGGTATTTACAAAGACATTAATGATGGTTCTTACTTCAAAAAGCATATGTTATTTGGTCAAAAAGAGCATGCTCTTCAAATACAGTTACATTACGACGATTTTGAAACCGCAAATCCACTTGGATCCAAAAAAGGATTTAGTTTATTTTATTTTAAGAAATTTGCCCCCCAAGATCAATTCTGTTTTAATGAACATCCATCTTGTGGCCCTTTTCCATTCAGAAGACTTAAAAAAATATGGCTTTAAACCAATCTTACAGCCTCTCGTAGAGGATCTAAAAATTCTGGAGTCAAAGGGAATCGATGTACCCTTCTCAGATACTATGTTACAGGGTTCTGTTATTCAGGTTACTGGTGACAATTTAGCTTTACATGGACTGTTAGGTATGGTTGAGTCGTTCAGTGCAACCTACTGTTGCCGGATTTGCTTAATTGACAAAAAAAAGTTGCAGTCAGTCTTTAGTGAGGATGACCCAGATTTGATCATTCGCACAAAGGAGCTATATTCACAACATTGCAATGCTCTGGCACAAGATCCCACTCTTGCATCACTGTTTGGCCTTAAGAGAAGTTGTCCACTCAATTCATTACAGTTTTTTCATTCTTCAGAGAATTATGCTGTTGACATTATGCATGATTTGCTTGAAGGGGTTGTGCAGTATGAGTTAAAGCTGCCTTTTCAGTACTTGGCTAAAGACTGCATTTCATTGAACACACTTTCGGAAAGGATTCAGAGCTTCAACTATGGATCCAGTGAAAGAAAGAACAGACCAAGTGCAGTTAAAATTGATGATGGCAGCAAGGACCTTGGCCTCAATACTATTCAGTCATGGTGCCTTCTGCGCAATACCCCCTTGATCTTTGGAGATCTAGTTGACACGGACAATGGTTACTGGAGTCTGATACTACTTTTGATTCAGATAGTGAACATTGTATTCTCACCAGTTGTAACACAGGGTATGACTTATTTTTTTGAAGCATTTAATTTCTGATCATCATAAACTTTTTAAGTCCATGTTTCCTGAAAGAAGATTGATTCCAAAGCACCATCTAATGATCCATTATCCTAGATGCATTAGGAAAGTGGGTCCACTTATACACATGTGGTGCATGAGATACGAAGGGAAGCATAACTTTTTTTAAGAAGTCTGTAAAGAACTTTAAAAACATAACCAAAACATTGGCCAAGAAACATCAACATCAGTTGGCTTTTCATTGGGAGAGTTTTTATTTTAAAAGATTCCAGTTTGGTCCTTTTAATGAAGTCTCTACTTGCACTCTGGAGGGTAATGAGCTTTTAACTGAAACTTGGAATGTACCTACTGTGTCTCCACTACAACCTGGGTAAAAAAAACTATGGAACTGAATACCAAGTTGGAATGTATATTTGCTCTGCTGTTGAAAATGAAATGCCTGTCTTTAATAAGATTATCAGCATTATTGTAAAAGACGGACAAGCTTTTCTTTTGGCCAGTAATGTAATTACAGTTTGTTTTGATGAGCATGTGCATGCATTCTGTATTGAGGAGGTGGGTAATATGTTCACACTCATTTGTGTGGATGATTTGATATACTATAGACCTTATGACAGGCAGTTTTCATATGACCGTGATGAGAGAACTTGCATTGTTCCCTGTTGTGTTTTTGTTTCAGATGGGAATTAACTGCAAATTGTGAAGGTTTTTAAATGCAGTGAAATGCTGTTTGAATGTTAAATGTGGTGTACCTCAATAACATATTTTCTGCAAATTTGTCCTGCCATTTAATTTTATAGAAAAAAAACATATTAACAAAAGTGCTATTAAAAGCACCAAAAGTACACTTATCATTGTTATATTCAAATTACATTGGTGTTGATCTTAAAAGAAGAGTGTTAAAAATTAACACCATAATTGAATACTAACACTGGTGTAGTGCAGGAACAACAATGAATAGTGTTGAATAGGTTTAACGATTAACAATAATGAGTGTTGAATTTACATGCAAAGGGTGTCAAAAAGTTAACACTATCAAAAGTGTAACATTTACACTCTATAGTGTGGACACATATAGACACTTTGCTGGTGTTAAATTTGACACTGGGTGTTCTTTTTACACCAGTGATTTTGCTGTGTAGAATATAAAAGTATACTTTAAGTATAATAGTAGTAAACTTTGAGTACAGAACTAGTTTACATCAAAATGTTTAGTTTGTACTGCAACTATACTAAAAGTGAACTTGTAGGTATACTGATAGTTTACTAATTAAATACTAGTAGTAGCATTTTTAGTACACTTTGAAGTATAGTCTCAGTAAACTACTAGTTTAGTAGTTTTATACTGCAAGTACACTCGTAAGTTTTCTTTAAGTGAACTTTACATCATACTTTAAGTATACTACTGCGTCCCTATTTAGGTATTAATTTGTCTATATTTTGTTATGAATATCTGAACATACAAAACATCAAAAGAACAGGGTATCTGCTTGTAAACAGAAATATTTTATTATAGCTTCATGCATTATTTTTTTAAACACTTGAATGTGGGTAAGTTTCATAAATAAAAAATAAACATATACAAAATAGCACACTTTAATAAACTTATTTTTCGTAAGGGTTACCATAGCATTATATACTAACATTGTTTATAATACAATTATAAATTATAATAAAAATAGCTAATTTAATCAGCCTAATCATAGCCTTATAATAACCTTTAAACAATGCATTTAAATGAATGAATGAATGAGGCATTTACTGTATATAGCGCTTTATTGTGTATTATGGGGGGGGCATCCACCTGCATATATAATTATTTATTGGTAGTCATATGCTATATTCTCTATGAATAAATGAATAAATATTCTGTATGAATAAAAGAGTTTACTACACTTTCACAAATGAACAAATTATTATTGTTCTCTTTTGCTCTCCTATGTTCTCATGCTTTCGTTGTCTTTTTCTTACATTCTAGCGCCATCTAGAGACATACTACAGACTACAGCGCTTGAAAGACATGCTGTTATATCAGCATGCCACGTTACTGAGGGGAAAAGTTCAAAGACAAGAGATGAAGCTCCATGATTCCAGAGAAGGACATAGAGATCAGGTATGCTCTATTTCTAAGAGTAAGAATTTCACTTCACCTTGTCAATTTATCATTGAATGAAGCTTCTTGTATATTCATGAACATAAAACTGAAATAAGATTTTTGTGATATTTAATTTGTGCTCTAAAAATGGACAACAACACGGTGCCCTTCAAGGCTATTGTGCAATTTAGAGATATGTGTCTATATCAACTACTCACAGAATATGTGTCAAGGCCTGAACATTTTGGTTAAACTGATGGAGGTCACAACTGCACCTTACATCACAATTAGTAACTGAATAAGAGTACATTCATTAATACTGAGTATGTGAATTAGTGTAACGAGCAAAAGGCCTCATCGGTCTAGTCTTTACATCTTAGAAAAGGTTCATGAAAGAACCTTAACTATATGCTAGATTTTAAAATGAACCTTTTACCACAACAAAGGTTCTAAAAATAACTACCAAATACCCAGTGGAACATTTTAGAACCTTTAAGTTCAACATTTAACCTTTTTGATAGTTAGATGTTCATATTTGCATTTTAAAGTTATTTAAATGATTGAACTCTAAAGGTGCATTCCCTTAAGAGTGTACACCCTCCTGGAATCAATGACTAATTATTACTAATGTATGTTCATTGAAGAGAGAGAGAGAGAGAGAGAGAGAGAGCATAGTGGTTACCGAATCATGCCAGTAGAAGGCAGTGCTGAGAAAACTTTTAGAGAAAGTGTTACATTGTTTTCTGTTGGACCTCTTTATATTTAAATATATATATATATATAAGAATTGGAGGACAGAACTCAAAATGTATTGTTTTGATTTAGAATAATTTGTGAAGTAGGTCATTTAGAATTCACCTTTTTCTCTCTCTGAAAGGAACAAACAAGATTTTTTTTTTTAAACCTAAAAGAACCCAGAATCAATCAATTAATCAATCAAAAAAAAAAAAAAAAACAGTTTAGATATAGCCCACTGCTCCCTTGCAGAACTAACCAAACAATGCGACCTTCTGCATGGGATCTAGCTATTTAGTCAGTCTAATTAAATGGAAGCTCTCTTCTGGTTATTATTGTGAATGTTGTTCAGAGGTGTATATTGTAAACCAAACTCACAAGTCAGCAACAAACTTCCTTTAAAGGGGTCATATGATGTTGCTAAAAAGAACAGTATTTTGTGTATTTGGTGTAATGAAATGTTTATGTGGTTTAAGGTTAAAAAAACACATTATTTTCCACATACTGTACATTATTTTTTTCTTCTCTATGCCCTGCCTTTCTGAAACGCGTTGATTTTTACAAAGCTCATCGGTCTGAAAAGCGAGGTGTGCTGTGATTGGCCAGCTACCTAGTGCGTTGTGATTGGCCGAATACCTCAAGTGTGTGACGGAAATGTTACACCCCTTATCATACTGTGATGTCGTGTCCCGGCGCGACAAGACAAAACCAGTAAATCCCATTATAAACGAGGCATTTGTTGCAACCAGTGGGGACATAATTACGTCTTTTTACACGCTGCGTAAACATAAAACCATGTCTGCATTTGTGATCGGAGAAATGACAAACAACAAGCGCTACTCTACACTTCCCAAAACTCGCGTTTGAATCATCAGTGTTAAATTCTTAAAATAAAAACGTACTTACAGTCTGTGAGTCAGAACAGCCGGCATTGTAGTCTACTCTCCCAGGATCAGGAAACAGTCCTCCATAAAATGTGCTGCACACATCTGAATATTTGGGTTGAACCAGTGGTGTAGTCTACGTGATACGCAGGTATACGCCCTATACCCAAGGATTTGCATATACTCACTTAAAAAAGCGTGCAGATACGTAACAACATCGTTTTGCGACAGACCTTTCACACGTTCGTTCATAAATTCACCCTGTCTGTGTTGCGAAGCACCGACGTATTGATAATCGCACTGTGTTTCTTTTGACGACTATTGCTATTGTGCAACTCTTGCGCAGCATTGAGTGTGCAAGCTTGAAATGAATTAATGTGAATCACTAAAGGAGATATGAAATGATTACACTCGTTCAGTGTTTTCGTAAGCCTGCCCCTGAAGCTGCCGCTGCTTCGGGTGACACTGCAAACAGATGACAGGAACGTTAACATTATAGAAACGACAGCAAATGAACCAGATAAGGCTGATATTATCCTACGCGATACAGAAAACGAGGCTGATGCTATCGGAGCTTTACCTGATACATCAAAGTAGCATATACTTTATCATTAACGGAACTGTAACAACAGGGGATTGTTGGCATGTAAGAACAATGAGTGATTTCAGTAAACAAAAAGTTAATATTAAGTGACATTTTCTGGCTATAAGAGTATTGCCTGATTTTGCTCTATTTAGTCAACTAAAATAGTTTCAAACAAACTCATAACTGAGCCGCTGCACATCTCCATTCAAACACCGCGTTGTTTCGTTTATGAATGAATCTGCATTTTTAAACGAATCTAGTGAGTAAATTCAATTACCCATTCATAAAGATAGTCACGTGCTATGTTCCTGAATGAATCAGCTGTTCGAACGAATCAATTGAGTGAATGATTCAGTGATAGAATCAGTAACTTGCCACCACCTAATGTCATTAACTTATTCTCAACATGAATTTATGCAGTTAATTGCACTCATGCCACCTCTGAGCCTCATTAAGTGTCTGTAAATACCTACAAGCCACTTTTGTGTTCTTCTGTGCCACCTCTGTAGTGCAAATTAATTTTGTTAATACTGATTTTATTTTATCTGATTGGTCACTTATTCTTATTCCATTGTTTTAATTAGAAATTTTGAAAAAAGCTTATAAAAATACACTTTTGAATTTGACATAAAAGATAACATACTTTGAATAAAGTTAGAAAAAAGGCCCCTGTAAATCACTTTAAAGGATTAGTTCACTTCTGAATTAAAATTTCCTCATAATTTTCTCACCCCCATGTCATTCAAGATGTTCATGTCTTTCTTTCTTCAGTCGAAAAGAAATTAAGGTTTTTGAGGACAACATTCCAGGGTTTTCCTCTATATAGTGGAGATTTCCTTTTGACTGAAGAAAGAAAGACATGAACATCTTGAATGACATGGGGGTGAGTAAATTATGAGGAAATTTTAATTCAGAAGTAAACTAATCCTTTAAGGAGTCCAAAATTACTTCGTAATGGGTAGGCTAATTTTTGTTATTGTTCAGAAGGTGCTCCTGATTTTTTTTCTGTGCTCCTACTTATTTATTTTTTTACAAATTAGCAGCACAAGTGCTACTAAAAATAAGAGTAAGCGTAGAGCCCTGTTTAGTGAGGTGCTGCTCTGGGACGGGTGAGTATGAGGCTGGGAGGGAAAAATCACAGTATACTCACTACAAAAAAATAGACTACACCACTGGGTTGAACTGTTCTGGAACAGTGTTGTAAATACAACTTAACCACTGATTTCTAGTCGTGTCTTCTTTTGGAAGGCCAAACAACGTAGTTTCACACGGCGGGTGAGCTTTTGAACGGTGCGGCCGGCGGATTCGACGAAGGAGCGGCCGGCGGGTTTGCGGCAACCCCATGTGACGACCCCGGGCTGGACTCGGATTTGTCCACGGTGAAAGCCGATCCTGCGATCCACAGCGCGAAGCTGATGTATTTCCTCAGCGACCAGCATGGATCAGCTCCAGGCATGACAAAGCGGATATCGTCCTCTTGTGGAAGACCAAACAAAGTAGTTTCACTTTCACAACGAAACCCACAGAACACAAACACACACACGTCTTCACGACATGGCGGCAGCAATACTACAGCGAGAATAAAAGTTACGTCTTCTTTCTTTGCGTGAACATTTGGGCGGCGTTATGCAAATCTTCCCACATAGTGATGTAGACATGTGGGGGCGTGTTAGAACGAGCCGCTTTAGGTAGGCGTGGCTGACTCTTAACTTTTATAAAGAATATCTCTTTGGATTTGAGACTTTAGTCTTTGCATCTTTACAGATCTTCTTTATGCACCAAGAGCTTGTAACACTCCAAAGAGAAAGGAAAAATTGAAATCGCATCATATGACCCCTTTAACAGATGAGCTCCTGGACATTTGGGTCAAAGCACACCCAATCAACACGTACTGTATACAGACACATATCCATACACCACCTATTGTAGTAATAAACACATCATCCACATCAGTGGGGTAGCCATTACCATTTCAAACAAAGTTGACCATTTCCTTTCTCTCTATCAGAGCATTAGAGGAAGTCTCTGTGCTGAAATATTCATGACAGTGCCCCACTGCAACCTCACCAGCAACAGCATCGACAAGTATACAAGTATAAACTTCCTCACCATGGCTGATCTTAGTGCATAACCCTGAAAAATGTGGTGTCCTAACCTTGCTAAACTCCCATAGGAAAGAAAAATCATGTGTGAAACCTCTTTAATGTCTCAGTTGTTTCTCCAAGTCAGCGCTGAGAGTAAATTGAGATCAAATTGAGACATTTGCACCACAGTGATCTCACAAATGTCTCCTTTAGCGTTTAAGAAGAAATCTCAACAATGTCTCGGATTGTGTTTAAATTTGCCAAGCCACCAAAAAGTCTACAAAAGACAGAAATCATTTACCCTTAACAAATTATCATCTAATTCTCCCAAAACCAAATGATCTGTACTATTTACATAGGTCTATACTCTTACTATATGTCACAAATTGTCTTTTTGCGTATTTTTATTCCTCCTAAAATGAATTTTAGACAACCAAAAAAAATTCCTCTGGCCCTGCTGAAGTGAATATAGGCTACAATGTGTACAAAACATCAAGAAAGGTGAATGGCAATCATCTCTTGAGCAGAAATGAATCTAGATGTCCATGTAATGTCAATTGCGATGTAGTGTAACTCATTGCAGGACAGTAGATGTGTGTCTCTCAGAGACACTTTGAAGTGTTACTGAAATCCGGAGGATTGAGGAAGCCTGTCGTTGTAATATGGGGGAAGCAGTTGGTGTGGACTTGTGATTGACTTTGATTTTGGCCGTCTGGGTTGAGGACAATAAGAGTTAGAGACTGGGGGGTAAGGATGTGGGGGAGGGGTCACTGACTTATCAATCTCCTCCTATAAAAGCAAGACTTCTTCAGCGGGCTGTAATTGTGTCCTCTAATGACCAGCACTGGAGGGGAGGACAAAGGGAGAGCTATAAAGGATTTTATGGGCTGCCAGTAGGAAACCTTTGGTACAAATTGCTGAGCAAATGAAACTGCCCTGTTGTTTCCTCAGCCCAGCCAAAAACTTTGTCCAGACTTCATGATGTTGAGCTGGGACCAAAGCAGGCTGAGCCATGGACACCTGCTGGGGCCTAATTGGTCCCCGTTGCAGTTAATGGCTTCCTGTGGTTGCATGTTTACTTCTCATTGGTTTTGTATGCTGGGGGTTCCCAGCCCTACTAAAAAAGAGTGGCCATTACGAGACCCTCAGATTAGAAAGAAAAACCTAAATTGTTGCAAGATCTCAACTGTTCCTCATTGTTTCAAGCTGTGTATTGATTTGCCAAAATATAAGTCAAGTCAAGTCACCGTTATGTATATAGCGCTTTTAACAATACCGATTGTGTCAAAGCAACTGTACAGCATTAAATACAAAACTAGTGTGTCAATGCAAAATGACAATAGTAAACACTCAATTTTCAGTTAAAGGCAGTTCATCATTGAATTCAGTGATCGCATCGTCCAGCTCAGTTTAAATAGTATCTGTGCAATCAAGTCAACGATATCGCTGGAAATTAAGTGTCCCCAACTAAGCAAGCCAGAGGCGACAGCGGCAAGGAACCAAAACTCCATCGGTGACAGAATGGAGAAAAAACCTTGGGAGAAACCAGGCTCAGTCTGGGGGCCAGTCGAAACCAGCAGTTCAATTCCAGGCTGCAGCAAAGTCACATTGTGCAGAGGACTCATCATATAAGAGTCTGCGATCAACAGTTAGAGATCCTCTCTGCATCCTCAGTTTACTCTTTCTGTCACAGAAGCTTGTCAGCCTTCAGAGGGCCACCAGACCAACCCTCACACACGATGATGCATACCTGAGGTGTCTGCCTAAAACATGCTACTATCTGGTAAGACCAGCATTATACCCTGCTTTCTCTCTCCGTAGATATTTACTAGGACTTTAAGTGATTAGACTTTAAGTGATTAAAATGCACGTGATTAACCATCTCTAATCTGGCCTTCATGAGGTTCTGGAACTGCAGAAACAGCTAAAACGACTCGGGTGTCTTCAGAGCAGCAGGGAACAGGAGGTCTTCAGGGTTTGGACAGAACAACACAGAAGCACATGTCAACTTGAGAAGCAACTACAAGCAGTGGGTGAGAGCTGATGCCATGAACAGTGCTGTTTTCACACTGAATCCATTATCAATTCACAGAAGGTAAAACCTATTTGCCTAAAGATATCAAAAATGAAAAAGTAAGCTTGCCATGTTATTAGATTTTTTTTTTTTTTAAATAGACAAGGTGCCACAGTAATAACTTGGGCGATATAACTAAAATATTATTGCCATCATTTCAACCAGCCAACAAGCCATTGTATCCAAGTTGGTTAAAAAAAATGTGTGTGTGTGTGTGTGTATATATATATTTGCCTTGATTATTTTTCAAATTAGATTTGTACTATATATATATATATATATATATATATATATTTACAGGTGAGCCCAGAAATAGAGATATTTGGGATCTATAAATTACACATTCGAGTCTATTTCTTTTTATATTTACCTCAGATTGTTTGGTTTCTATGAGAGATGCTGAGTCACAATATCTATCTGCCATGTTGAATTTCACACCTTTTTATTTTCAGGATGGACAGTCAAACATGTCTGAGGAACATCGCTCCATCATCACTGAGTTGAAAGGAGAAATATACAGAACAAACTCTTGCAAAATCTTTGTCCACTTACACACCCACTTTTTTTCTTTTCTTTTCCCCAGAGCATTTATTTTGAATTCAACGTTACTGGTCTCTACCCATAGCTAAAACCACTCTTCAACATAATCTTAATTTCATTCTCATTCTCTCTGTCGGTCTTGTTACATGTCTGTTAGCTGCTACACAGTGCTGTGAGGAAACGCTGTCCTGCGCTGCAGTGCTCTGGAGGGCCAGTTTGCACCCAGCAGACAAAGTGTGTGCTCACCCGGGTGTGCAGTGTTATCGGGTGTGAGCCTGGGCTGTGTCTGAGGCTCTTCCTGAGAAGTAGCACATCATTAGGAATATATTAGCAATCCTACGCTCACTCCATTGGTTGCTCACACGTATCGCTCAGGCTTGGCCATGTTGCCAAGTGGGAAAAAGGTGGAGATCCATCTCAATCTGAGAGATGTAGAAAAGAACGATCTTGTCAACCAGGCACTGTGTTGTGTCCATTTGCAATAACGTAAACTTAAAAGATTGAACTTAAAAGAAAATCTCATTGTCTCAAAGTTCTAAGTCAATAGGGTTGACTGACTTCCGTATGGGTAAAACAATTGAAACATTCTTCAGAAACTTCTATCGGGTTTTGAAAAGAAAAAGACCTGCACAGGCTTGGAGCGACATAAGGACATACGTTTACAAACTTGAGCATTGTAGTCGAACAGTGTGTGTTCAACTCAAGCTGTTCAATGTAACTTTCTGAAAAATAGTTCTCGAATGGTGTTGTAGTGATATAAATTGTTGTCTATTTGTATGTCTACTTTCTTCACAGATGCCAGTCTCAGTAAGAGTGGGTGGAGGAGGGGTGAACGCTTTCCAACAGCAGGGCAAACAGAGTTGGGGACAAGACGAAACTGAGCTCATGTTTCCTGAGGGAAGTGCCAAATCACAGCGTCTCTGATCCCAGTAAGCAGCAGTGAGACAAACACACCTGCAGCAGTCACACACAAACATACATAACCCTCACTTTCATCTACACTTATATAGACAAGTGAACTTCTAAAATGAGAATTAATGTTTATAAAAACAATTCTAGATATAATAGTTTTCCTTTTCAAAAATTAAACGATTACAATTAGAACTAAAAGGATTTTATAAGTGAAAAAAATCTTTACAGTGTTTTCTCTACAGCACTGATTTCATTACACAATGTACTGATTATGGTTTGTTCTAAATACGTTACGTAACTTCTGCAAGCACACTGCTCAGTGCAGTTGTGAACGGTCTACTTTCTGTTTACCTTCTGAATTAATCTATTTTCAATATCAAGAACTTTTGTAACCTCTGAAAAACTATATATTAGCATTTCCAGTGCTGGGTAGATTACTTACAAATTGTAGTCTGTTACTGATTACATATTACATGCTGAAAATTATATTTTGTAATGTAATCAGGATTACTCATTTTAGATGTGTATTCTGAATACTTTTGGATTACTTCTAGATTACTTTTGACATAACTTTTTTTTATAGATTTAAAATGGATTACTGTTATAAAAAATAAATAAATGTATCACCATTAACCGACATCAGAGAACATGCAAATGTGTTGTTAAATTATTGAAATATTACCTTTAAATCTCAGGGGGACTTCAAGAAAATAATTTAGGTCAAAGTGGTTTGACTGTCAAAACGTTTGGGAATCCCTGTATCACATTAACAAAAAATTTAAAAAGAGAAGAAAACAAAGAATTAGGGAGAATCAATAAATTGTGAATAATTTGTAATCATGTAATCCATAAAGAAGTAGCTGTAAACTGATTATGAGCATTTTAAAATGTAATATAATCTAATTATAAGTACTTAATTTTTGGAATGTAATTAATCTAGATCACATGTAATCAGTTACTACCAGCACTTTTACTCATTCATATTATAATCCATTCCGCTTGGTCCAGTCCGAGTGGCGCTTGAACCATTGACAGACAGCATGGGAGTCAGATGCTCTAAGGAAGCAGTCTCTATAGCATCAGTTGCTGGCGCAACTCTTAAATCTATGGAACTGAGGTTTACCTGCACAACATCTTGTACCAGCTGGGCTCCATTACACACATGCCACTAAACCACTCATGGCACCACTGTAAACGATTCTGCTTGGGGATCTAATTGACGATTGCCAGCATGGGAGTTGGGCAGACTAATAACAGCACTAAAGACCACAGCTTTTTTAGTGTTAGTCGCTAGTGCACCTATTAAAGCCAGGAGCTGGCCTCTGTTACACTTACGCCTCTAAACCTCACTCTCACCCGGGTCATGGCACCACTGTAACGGTTCTGCTCAGGGAACAAACCGATTATTACCAGCATGGGAGTTGACCACAGATGACAACGGCCTTCTAGTGATAGTTGCTTGTGCATCTCTCGAGGCCAGGGGAATGAGGTTTACCTGCACAGCTACCTCGTACCACCTGGCCTCCATTACATATACAATGCAAAATGTTTTTTATAAGAAGAACCTGTTAAGTACATGTATATATGATAGTGTTGGTCTGTGAAGTCTAGAAAGTAATCCATCACAAAAAGTCTAAAAGTGAAAAACTAAAGTCTCAACGGTTTGTGGAAGACTTATTTAATTGAAATACTTATATATTAAAAAAAATCTCTCAACTCAAGTGAACATTGCCTCAATATAACTCTTTGGGATATTTGAAGTTTTGATTGGAAAAAAGCCATGCAGGCTGAAGGTGTGCCAAGTGGTTGATGTCATGGCAGTGGTAACAAAATCTATGAGAGTAAAAAAAACATGCACAGACAAATCCAAATGAAACCCTGTGGCTCGTGACGACACATTGATGTCCTAAGACACGAAACGATTGGTTTGTGCGAGAAACCGAACAGTATTTATATCATTTTTTTACCTCTAATACACCACTATGTCCAACTGTCTTTGAGCTTGCGCGTGGCATCCGGTGCGTGAGGTGTGTACGCGCTCTGGCGTAGTTTACGTTAATGGGTGTGTTGATATCCAGCCAAAGAGCAATCGACCATAACTTCAGGCGAGCAGGCTCAGAAGTTGGGAATACGTGGAAAGTCACCACTCCCGAATGAGTTCGCGCGAGAGAACGTAATCTTTTAGTTTTAAGTCGGTTTGAACAATCCGGTTCAAGTAAGTACCATTTTGATTAGCCGTCGTACCTACAATGACTGTGCACTGTGTAAACAATGAGTGACGTATACACGCGAGAGATCACTTCCGGAGCTTGCGTAAACTACACCAGAGCGCGTACACACCTCACGCACCGGATGCCGTGCTCGCGCCCAAAGACAGTGGGACATAGTGGTGAATTAGAGGTAAAAAATTATATAAGTACTGTTCGGTTTCTGGCACAAACCGATCGTTTTGTGTCTTAGGACATCAATGTGTCATCACGAGCCACAGGATTTAATTTGGATTTGTCTGTGCATGTTTTTTTTACTCTCATAGATTTTGTTACCATTGCCATGCATTATACGACCGATAGACTGCGGTTAAAGTTAAAAATCATCATTTGTGTTCTACTGAAGAAACAAAGTCCCCTACATCTTGGATGCCCTGGGGGTAAGCAGATAAACATCAAATTTTTCATTTTTGGGTGAACTATCCCTTTAACTGAAAACTATGGGAATTGTTGGAGTCAAACATTTTTACTGAAAATCTAGGAGATATTATGGCTTTTGGCTGCCTGCTATATGAAAACTTGTGTTAAAGTATTTGACTGCAAGACGCCAGTTGTTGCCAGAGTCCAGACCACATGGAGGTGAGAGAAGAGGATGAAGAGAAGGAGCAGTGAAGCTGGGATGAGAGTGGAACCTGTAGAAAGACATGTTTTTTCTCACACCTCCCTGTCATTGTGGATGTGTGCAAACAGAGCATTGGTCTGGAGGAGGGAGCATGATTGCAAACATCGGGCAGACAGAGTTGGGAAGAACCAGCAGTCAGGGGTATTACTTAGCCTTGTGGCCCACTTACAGCTGCAATGCACAAGAAAACACAGTCGGTACTAGACATCTATCACATGGACAAACATGTGAGAATATAGATATAAGATATCTAAACATCTCTCTTTTACATTTTCATGAGAAAATGTATACTCATAAAATGTATCTTCATGAGCTGAATACTTTATTGCATTAGAGAATAAGTATTTCATTTTTTAAGCAAAACATTTTATCTGACCAGTATTTGGGAGACATAAAAATTATTCACATGAGTAAATAAGCACACATATATATATATATATATATATATATATATATATATATATATATATATATATATATATATATATACATATATACACATATACACA